GAAGACCCAACGAAGCCAAAAATTAATTAATTTTTTAAAAATGATTTTGGACTTATAAACAGCTTTTTGGTTCTGTTAGGAAAGAAGAAGAGCTTTAATAAATACCTAAAAAAAAAAAAGACTGTAAGTAAACATGAAAAATGCAGGCCTCATTATGTGTTGCTTAGATTGTGAGATTATGAGTTTTGTTGTTCTTTAAATTTTTCTGTATCTCCCAAGTTTTCTACAGTAAGCATATATTAGATATTTTTAAGAAAAAATATTTCTAAAAAAGAAAATAATCATTTTACTTCATTTTTTAAAATGTGTTTAAACTATACTATGAAGGGGTCAAGTAAGTAGTCAACAAGCCTGTAACAAAAGTTGGCTTGGTGTTTATATGTTTAATATGCCATATAAAGTTAGTGTTTAAGGGAAAATTTTAGTGTAATAAAAACTGCATAAACATGTTTCTTGATTTCCTATTAACATCTGCATTTCTTCCCTTTCCTGGCTAATTACAAACGTCTACAAGATCTCCCCAAATAACAGACAAAAACTAACTCAATAAGCTCCCATCCCTTGGTCATGCCCTGCTGGTTGTTCCTCCTCACAGTCTCTCTTTCTCCAGCTCCCTCCCTGCATCCACCTGTCATTTCTAAGTCAGCCCTTCTCTCTACATCTCTGATTACCCTTCTTTCTAACTCTAAATGCCTCAGTCTGACTGTCCCTCTGTGTTTCCAATGTCCCCTCTCTATCTCTGACTAACCCTAACTCTCTGCCTTTGGTGTGTGTGTATTCCTCTTTCTACCTCTCCCTAAGTGACCCACCCCAGTGTGTGTGTTTTCCCCTCTCAGACTCTGCCTTTCTATAAGTCTCTCCCCTATAGTTACCCCATTTCCAAGAAATTCTTGTTAACTTTTCCCTCTAATCTTTATAAATAAGCAGGCTTGATATTATTAACTCTATTTTACAGATGATAAAGAAAAACAAACAGGATTATTGGTATAAATTTGAGAGATGAAGATTTAAATCCAAGTGCTTCCCTTCTTTCTTTAATACTCTTCTGGTATTCCATGGCAAAGAACTTGAAACAGCCCAGATGCAAGCCAGTATTAACACTACACATATTTTTTCCTTAGAGGCAAACCTGATATTAAGGAGCACCACACACCATTTGCCCATATTTTTGCCTCTGCACCAGGTTAAACAGTCATGAACTGTCAGCCACTTGCCCATTCCAGAAATCCATTATCATATATGCACAGGTTAACCTGTGTTATTTGGGAACCTCAGAATACTAGACACCAGAAACTGCTGTTTCCAACAGTGCTTCTCTGCTTGTCTGTTTTTATCCCTAGTCCAAAACCAGCCATGTTTGACTTAAAAAAAAAAAAAGAGAGATACAAGAGGGACAATAGATAGTAATGAAACTGAAGAGCAAACTGGAAGAATGAAAAACTAGACAGAAGGCTAGCATGAGATCGTGAAAAATACACACCACAAACTGGGAGAAACTGGTCCATGTTTTTACTGAGAGGAGAAAATCCTCTTCAAATGCAGGCTTACCTCTGCAAAGCAATACCCTATAACTTGTCTCCTATCTAAACCTCTGACAACTGGAATTTCTCTGTAATTCAATAAGCTCTTAGGAGTTACCAGGGCTTCATCCATCCTACTGGGCTCATTAACAGAAAACTCTAAATGTTTTTCCCCACTAGGTAAGAGCACATTTTCGGTGGGTGGCACAGTAGAAGTAGGGTTCTCTTTGAAGACATGAACAGCCTAGTTCCATTTCTTCTCACTTCTCCTGTGGGTGGGAAGCCTGCAACCAGTACACTTCAACAACTAAAAGAAACGTCTAAATTATAGTTCAGGTTAGTGATTGTCAAAGATCATCCTACAGGTCACCAGTTTTATACATAGTGTGACGGCTACTCTTGTATTATAGGTTTATAATTAAAAATATATACTTTTACTTCTGCCACTAGTTCATTTACTTCTACGATATCTAATGAGTGCACAGGTGCCAAATCAACAATATACCAGTCTTATCATTCATTCTGGTGAGATATTTTGTGAACACTGAGCTTATGGAGCTAATGAGGACAGGGTCACAGATTCAAAAATATTAGCCAATTAATTTTGCTGTTTTTCAGGGTTCAATGGTCACAGTCAACAAACTTAACCTTGACTAACAAAAAAATACAGTGATCATGTGAAGCATTTTGGGAATGAATATATATGTATCACCAAAATTCATGACTATAAGAAAAAATATAATAAAATTAAATATAGTAATAATAATAATACGATCTTTCACTAAGCCTGGAAATGGGTCTACCTTCCAAAAACTCAAGTAAAAACCAATCAAGAACAAAAATGTTTAAAACATAAAGGAAAAAATAACACATTATAGCACACAAAGTAGATTTTAATGGAAATGACTCTCTACTGTCATAGTTTATACACAAGTCTGTAGTAAAAAAAATAGTTATCTTGCTGATTCTTAACTATATGTCAGGATGAAACTGGCAAAGCAGAGCCAGGGAAAACCACATCAAGAAAGACAGTAAAGGAAACATTTGCATCTGCAGACATCTTGTAGTCAACACAGCATCTGAAGGAATGAAAAGTAAACATTTCAATTCTTAACTCTAAGACTTTGCTTTGACCAACACATCAGTTTTCTCTATTAGGCATTCCTCCTTGGTTTCTCTGAACTCGCTCCTTACAGATACACACACACACCAGTGCCACCATCAGCACCTGTCACTAAGTGTTTCCACTTTCAAAAATGCCGGTCACCAAATCTTCTGGACACTACCCACTAGAATGAACTTTTACAGTCAAATACTCTGGCTTTAAAAAAAAGAAAGGTGGCGAGGATGGGGAACCAACAAAAAATGCTCTGTAAAACTCTGTCCTACATAAATCACAGAAAGATCTTTTTTGATCCACCTCCTAGAGTAATGGAAATAAAAACAAAAATAAACAAATGGGACCTAATGAAACTTTTGCACAGCAAAGGAAACCATAAACAAGACAAAGACAACCCTCAGAATGGGAGAAGATATTTGCAAATGAAACAACTGACAAAGGATTAATCTCCAAAATATACAAGCAGCTCATGCAGCTCAATATCAAAAAAACAAACAACCCAATCCAAAAATGGGCTGAAGACCTAAATAGACATTTCTCCAAAGACACACAGGCTGCCAACAAACACATGAAAAGATGCTCAACATCATTAATCATTAGAGAAATGCAAATCAAAACCACAATGAGATATCACCTCACACCAGTCAGAATGGCCAGCATCAAAAAATCTAGAAACAATAAATGCTGGAGAGGGTGTGGAGAAAAGGGAACCCTCCTGCACTGTTGGTGGGAATGTAAATTGATACAGCCACTATGGAGTATGGAGGTTCCTTAAACAACTAAAAATAGAACTACCGTATGACCCAGCAATCCCACTACTGGGCATATACCCTGAGAAAACCATAATTCAAAAAGAGTCATGTACCACAATGTTCACTGCAGCTCTATTTACAATAGCCAGGACATGGAAGCCACCTAAGTATCCATCGACAGATGAATGGATAAAGAAGATGTGGCACATATATACAATGGAATATTAATCAGCCATAAAAAGAAACAAAACTGAGTTATTTGTAGTGAGGTGGATGGACCTAGAGTGTGTCATACAAAGTGAATAAGTCAGAAAGAGAAAAACAAATACCATATGCTAACGCATATATATGGAATCTAAAAAAAACGGTACTGATGAACCTAGGGGCAGGGCAGGAATAAAGACGCGGATGTAGAGAACGGACTTGAGGACAAGGTGGGGGTGGGAGCTAAGACGAAGTGAGAGAGTGACATGGACATACATACACTACCAAATGTAAAACAGATAGCTAGTGGGAAGCAGCCACATAGCACAGGGAGATCAGCTCGATGCTTTATGACCACCTAGAGGGGTGGGATAGGGAGGGTGGGAGGGAGGTTCAAGAGGGAGGGGATACATGTATATGTATAGCTGATTCACTTTGTTGTACAGCAGAAACACAACACTGTAAAGCAATTATACTCCAATAAAGATGTAAAAAAAAAAAAAAACTCTGTCCTAGTAAATAGTCAATATCTAAGTCATAAACACAGATAATTGTTCTGCTACAAGCTCCAATGTACAGACAGAAAACTGCATTCTTACTATGGGTTGTAAATGAAGCAGCAGTCCAACAGCACACCCCAACAACAAGAGCATTTTGGAAACCTCTAAAAGTAAAAAATAGCCTAATATAATCTTTAGATAAAATGCAATTGCTTAAAAAAAATTTAAAAAAAACAACCCTGCAATCTGAGCACTTCTATTTACAGCTTTTTTTTTTAAGTTTATCAGTTAAGGATAACTATCCTCATTTTACAAACAACAACAAAAAAGAAATGGAATCTCAAGAAAATGCTTTACCTAAAATTATCATCGTCATTTTTTACCATCATCATAGTCATCAATTACAACAGCAACAAAATAATGAGCACGTACTCACTCCAACACTACTTTATATTCACATCTCATTTAATCCTTATAGACAGACACCTTGTGAGGTAAATGCTATCATCTCCATTTTATAAATTAGTAGACAGGCTTAGGAGAAATAATTTGCCAAAAGTCATAAACTAGAAGTCACAGCGCTGGGATTTGAACTCAAATTTGTTCAACTTTGTATATTCAACTAAGTCACTGTACTGCCATCCTCTTTGTTTTTAGAACCACATTCAGGTGTTCTTCAACCAATGATTGCAGAATAAATACAAGATTACCTCATTACTATACCTCCAAACCCACAAAAAGTTGTTTGTAAAATCCTCTCTCTCTACAAGGGGAAAAATACCACAAAAAGCCACCTGCTTGGAGTCTCAGAGCTGAACAGCCAGAATAAAAACTAGACTGGAATATTGGCTGTTTAGATTCTGAATTCTAACTGTAAGGTAACACAGACTCCGAACACATATACCTAGGGAGGTGAAAATAACCCCAATAGTTCTTGTTTCAGCCAGTATACACAGGATAGTGGTACCGTATTAGAATCAGAGCTAGGTTTAGCACAAGCAGTATCTGAAAACGGGGAAGACACAGCAGACCATCTAGAGACAGGCATCAGCTTAGCGCATGTGAGGAACATTAAGCGCTCTCTGGGATACTCGTACCTGTGTAGCACTGAGGAAAGGACGGCTATAACAAAGCAAGAGGGGAGCGAGCGAGAGAGAGAGAGAGAGAGAGAGAGAGAGAGAGAGAGTGTGTGTGTGTAGACAGAAAGATAGTGAGCTTGCTGTATTTGAAACGTGCTTTCTCGCACATGTCACTTCTGCTGAACCCCATAACACCGGAAGGCAGGCAGGCCAAAGACGATTACCCCCATTTTTCGGACTGGGAAAACGAGGCTGCGGTAAATGTGCTACAAAGGACCACAGATCTAGCAAGTGACATACCCGAAACTCCTCCCAGCACATCAGATTCCAAATCCCGTGCTTCTTCCCTACTCAACCCTGAGAGGAGGCTTTACTGATAAAAGAAACTTTAAAAATCGGACCTGGAGTTTTCCGAGGGCGGCCCAAGAAAACCAGGAAGTACACCCTCTCTACTAGACTGCTCACTCCCAGCCGACAGCCCGGGGCTCCGTGGCAGTGCAGCAGACTCGCCCCAGAGAAATCGCCGGCAGCCCCGGGGTCGTCTCGGGCGGCCCCCGCCGTCCACAGCCCCGTACCCCTGGGGAGAGAAAGGGGTCGCCACGTCCCCGCTCAGTACCTGTTGAAACCAGGAAAGGAACGGCCCCTCCGCAGACAGTAACTGGGGAGAGGGCCCCAAGCGAGCCCGCAGCCCTGGTAAGTAAAAAGGGCCTTGAGAGGGTCCCCAGCAACCCAGGGCCCGCTGGGGTCGAAGGACGGGAGCTTCCCAGTAACCTCCGCCCCAGGAGGGGGCCGGCCCCACGCCTCACTTGAGAAAAACACCGATAACAAACAAAGGGGAAAGAAAGCTTGTGCCAAGTGTGGAGAGAGAAGTGGAAGCAACGAGCCCCAGCCTGGGGTGCGGCGAGAGGGAAGGACAAGGACGCGGAGCGGATCTTTACCGGCGGCACAGTCGCTCCCCGCATCCGCCGCCTCCTCAAAGTTCCAGCTCTTCCGCTCGCGCCGTCGGGGCGCGCGCCAGGCCTCGGCTCCGCCCCCCCAGCGCCGCGGGGCCTTCTGGGGGCTGTAGTTTCCGCGAGGCCGGCCTCCGCGGGCCGCCTCCCGGTCACGTGGGAGGAGGAGGCAGTCAAAATGGCGCGAGAGGGCAGATGTTTGCGATCCTGTCTGCTCAACCCTTCCCCTACGTCTTAGCTGTAAACGGGCTCAAATCTCCTCACATACAGCTCGATCATACCATCCCTCCTCTTTCTACAGATAAGTTTCTTGAAAAAATTAGTCTAAACTCGCTGTCTCCGGTTCCTTCGTCCTCTACCCGGCAGCTTCTGCCCCCACAGAAAGTGGTCTTGTTGCCATCACTCATGTCATCTAACTTAAGCTTTAGGCACCATTTGACGCTGTTGGACATTATCACTTATTTTCTGACACTATTCAGGTTTTCCTTCTTCCTCTCTGGTCATTCTTCTCAGTCTCCTTCAACAATTCTTTTTCTAACCTGCTTCTTAAATATTAGTGTTCACAAGAATTCTTGGAGAACACTAATATTTAAGTGTCCCTTCATGTCCCACAGGCATCTCAAATGTAGCAATTTCAAAGTGACTCTTCCCTCCTCCCTATTCACTAATATTCACTCCAACCTTCAACCTAGATTCCTCCCTCTGTCTCACTCCTTCATCCACTTATGTCCAAATGGGCACCAAATTGTGTAGATTCTATGTCCTGAGTATCTCTTGTATCTGCTCCCTCTTCACACCACTGCCAGAGATTTAAATCAGACCCGTCTCATTTCTTACCTGGTCACAGCGTGGGCTTCCTTACTGGTCCCAGCACTTCAGCACCTCTGAGTCCTCCCTACTGCCATCAGGCCTATTTATGCAGCCAGCAAAAATTAATCATATCACACTTTTGGTTAAAGCATTTAAAGGATCCACTTGATTGGCTTTGGAAAGAGAAATGGAAGTGAACCTCCTAAGTGGTTTTTACAAAATATGGACACCAGCCCCACTACTTACTCTCCATCCTTACACATGTTGTGGTTCGGAGGTTCAGAGAAGAGAGATTTATAGCAGATCTTATTTCAGGGTAGGTGGATATCGGCATGTTTTAAACATTCCCCAGATGATTCAGTCATTCAGCAAGATGTATTTGGTTGATGCTATATACCAGACTTTGTGCTGAGTACTGAGAAAATAACAGGGAACAAGACAGTCCCTGCCCTTGTGGAGTTGATGGTCTCTTGGAAGAGATAGATATTAATCAAATGATCCCATACCAAAAAAATGAAACCAACAAAAACAAAACCCACAATTACCAGCTGTGAATTATGCAGGAATTATTATGCAGGAAAAGTAATCAATTCCTTTCCCTTTCCCTCTGCCACCCACCCTATGGTGTGAATCAGCATATCAAACAAAGCCTGTCAGGAGCTAATCTCCTCCCACTGCCTCCTATATACTTCTAGATTTACCGAAATGCTGAACTGCATAAATTGTTCCTCTGTTTGGAAAACCCTTCCCTTTCTCCCTTGACTAACTTCTGTCTTACTCTGCTGCATTCGAAGCAAACCAGTAGAATACCAGGCTCATGGAAGGATTTTCTGAGGATTGGACTACGTCAGGTGATAACTCCCGGGCAAGGAGAGATGAGCTAGCTGAGTAGAGGAGCCAGGCACATTTGAACATGGGCTACTGGCAGCAGGGCTGTGTTAGCCGCTTTGGAGGCAGAGGGCCTGAGCCAACATACCCAACCTTCAAAACACAAATCAAGTGTCACCTCCTCCAGGAAGCCTTTGCTGAGCTCTCCCAGGATGAACTAATTGTTCTTTCCTGGGTTCTCATTGCACCCATGCTGACCTCTCTTTCAGTGATAGGCTAGAGCCAGCTCATTCCGGCTTTGAAAAGCTGTTTAATATTCAGGAATATTACAAGTCCGTTTTTAAACCATTGGTAACTTGAAATCAGCTGTGATGGGACTATTTACACCACCATGGAAATCAGCAAATGACAAATCAGGGGGGTTTTGTTTGTTTGCTTGCTTTTGAGCATCAGTTTACCAGCATATCACTGCCTGTGTCTCAAAATGCATCTCTACACTGTATTGTAGTGATTACTCCCATATGAGAGACAAATTCTTTGTAACGACTTCATTTAGCAAATATTTGTTGATGTTTATCACTGTGCACCTGAGACTAGCAAAATGCTGAAGGGATTTACAGTGAAGAACAAACAAACATGGTCCCTACTGTTATGGAGCTTACAATCTAGCAGATATGACAGAATGTAAACAAAGAACTGTGTGCTTACCAACTGAGCTGGGCTGCTTTGTTGTAGAACATACTGGCAATGAGTGGCGGTGGACATAGAATACTATGCTACTTTAACAAGGTGGTCCAGGAAGGCTTCTCTGAGGAGGTCACATTTCCAGTGAGCACTGAAGGATGAGAAAGAGATGATCAAGGGGAGAACCAGGGAATCAGTGTTCCAGCCAAAGGGATGAGACCACACAAAGAATGAGCTAGGCTGTTTGAAGGACAGTATGGTCAGTTTTGTGGAATGGTGTGAAAGGTAATTTTATGTGTCAACTCGATTGGGCCACTGAGTGACCAGATCAAACACTATTTCTGGGTGTGTCTATGAGGATGTTTCCAGATGAGATTAGCACTTGAGTGGGTGGACTCAGATAAGTAGCTTATTTGCCCTCCCTAATGTGGGTGGGCATCACCCAATCTGCTGAGGGTGTGAATAGAATAAAAAAGGGGAAAGGGAGGAGTCCTTCCCTTCTTGCCTGCCTGCTTGAGCTGGGACATCAGTCTGTTGGTATTCTTCTGCCCTCAAACTGGGATTTACACCATTGGCTCCCTGGTTCTCAGGCCTTCGGACTTGGACTGGAATTATACCACTGGCTTTCCGGGGTCTTCAACTTGCAGACAGCAAATTGTGGGACTTCTCAGCCCCAATAAGATCACATGAGCCAATTCCTCACAATAAATCTCCTTTTATATATGCATATATACACACACATACATATATACAGCTATATAGGAGATATATATTTATCCTATTTATATACACATATGTAGGAGATGCATATATATCCTATTGGTTCCTATTTCTGTGAAGAACCCCTGACTCATACAGATGACAAGAGTGTGGGTTGAGTGATCCAGATGACGTGACAAGGTAATTAGGACCAGATGTGCACAGCCTTGAGGACATGATGAGGACCCCGGACTAAATTATAGCCAAGAAAATGTTTAAACAAGGGGGTAATGTTATCTGATTGACATTTTTATACAGTCATTCCTGCTTTTGTTCAGAGGACCAGAGTAGAAGTAGAAGCCCATTTGCTGCAGTAGTCTAGGTAAGAAATTATAAAATGAAGTGCTGGCAGTGAAAAAGGTGGGTGGCAGACTTCCCTGGTGGCACAGTGGCTAAGAATCCGCCTGCCAATGCAGGGGACACGGGTTCGATCCATGGTCCGGGAAGATCCCACATGCTGTGGAGCAACTAAGCCCATGCGCCACAACAACCAAGCCTGTGCTCTAGAGCCCGTGAGCCACAACTACTGAAGCCCGCGGGCCCTAGGGCCTGAGTGCTGCAGCTACTGAGCCCACATGCCGCAACTACTGAAGCCCGTGCGCTCTAGGGCCCATGCTCCGCAACAAGAGAAGCCACCGCAGTGAGAAGCCTGTGCACCACAACGAAGAGTAGCCCCCGCTTGCCGCAGCTAGAGAAAGCCTGCGCCCCGCAACGAAGACCCAACGCAGCTAAAAAATAAAAATAAATAAAAATATTTTAAGTTAAAAAAATGTTTTAAAGACTTAAAAAGAAAAGAAAAAAGTTGAGTGGACTTGACATATATTTTGCAGTTTGAGTCTACAAGACTTGCTGATGATTGAACGTTAGGGGAGGATGGGCGGTGAAGGAAAGAGGACCCAAGGGCAGAAATTGTTTACATCCATCTCCATATTCTCAGCCCCTAGATTAGGGCCTGGCACATAGTAGGTGTTCAAAAACCGGGTGTTGAATAAATGCAGCCATTCTGTGAGCTGAGCTCTGTGCCCTATCACTACCACCTTGCTTCACACAGGGCCCCTACGAGCCCATATACTACTTTGTGCAAATTAGAATAAAGTGTCCCTTTCTCCAGGCGGACCCTGTCCATCACCAGGATGCACAGATTGATGAGCAGAGTGTGGGCTACATTTCAGCACCCACTTACCCGCTCAGTTGGCACCCTTGTGCACTGCATAGTCTGTAAAACCACATATGGCAGCCCTGGCTTAACATCCCTGGGAGACGGTTTTGTGGAATTAATCCTAGTATTCATGGGGAGAATTTGAGGTCCAGGGAAAGGAAGCTTCCTGCCTGGGGTCGCCAGAGCTGCTGCTGTGACTGAGAGCCAAACCTTTGCCCTCTTAATCCCTGTGGGCTCTTTAGCTTTGGAGCCATACTGTCTCTTCCAAATCACTCAGCCCATCAATAAAGAGCTAAACTCAAAATGGTAACTTTGCTTCCTTGAGTTTCTCATCTGTCTCAGTTACTATTGTTAGAGTATTTCCCATTTACATAGCATCCAATATGTGCTCGGTGCCTTACAAAATACAATAAAGGAATGTGAAACAAAAGGACCTTGATTTTTTTTTTAACAGAATAAATAAGGAATGGCTGGTTTAAAGGGCCCTTAGCTCTTGGATTAAAATGAACTGTGGTATATTGGTTTACGGTGATGCTGTAAGCAATGCAGAAGAAAATATGCCCATGTGCAAGCTGTTTTTCCTTTGCATGCCTGACCAGAAGAAGAGAGGATATTGGAGCAGCTGGCTTCAGAAATATAAACAAGGGGGATGGGGGGTTAAGGACATAAGGAGGAGAAACACCCTAGAGCAGGAAAAGAATTCTCCCTT